GTATAATATTACCTTCTTGAAAGGCTGGGTGTGAAGCTTAAATGATTTCAACACATAAGAGCTTAGAACAGGGTCTGACATGCAAAAAAGGACCCCATAAATGTTAGCTTTAATTTTGTTATTATAAAGCAGATTCCTATACCTCATCATCTTTAATTATTTCATTAAACTTGTTTAAGATTTCCTTCCTCCAAATCAGTCTTTGGGCACTTGGATCTCGTGGCTGGCGGAGGGGAAGAGGTAATGTTTCCATTAATAAAGCAATCCTATAAATAAAACTTCTGTGGGCCATCCAGAATGTAGGCCACCCACTCTGCCCTCATCAAAGACATGATTTCTCTCCACTCTCTTACCCTGTGTGGTTGTAAGGAGAATTGAGAAAACAGTATTTTGACACTTGACATTTCTCATCTTCACTTCTACTTTCCATGTCCACCTGGTGACAAAAAGCTGCCCCAGAGCAGAACTGTCACCTTAAAACGGCCTACACTGTTGCAGAAACAATCACCGCACTGCACGTGCAAATATTTTCAAACTAAAGTGACTAAGAATCACCTCCCAGTCTCTTAGATGGGGCATAGGAGAGGGTGGAACAGAAGAGCTGAAATTATAGGGGGGTCCCCCAAGGAGGTGGTGGAATAAGAACATTTAAGAAACATAGACATTTCCCTGGCCGGTGACTCAATTGGTTGGAGCGTCGTCCGTACACCAAAAGGTTGCGGGTTCGATTCCTGGTCAGGGCACACACCTAGGTTATGGGTTCAATCCCCAGTCAGGATGTGTATAGGAGGCAGCCAATTGAGCCCTCTCTCTCTCTCTCTCTCTCTCTCTCCCCCCCACACCCCCTCTTCCTTTCTCTCTAGAATCAATGAAAACATCCTCGGGTGAGGATTAGAAGAAGAAACATAGATCCCATTCCTTCTCCCTAGAGACTTGTGCATGTCCAGGCCAACATCATTTGCTGGCTTGAAATTTCTAAAGATGTTTTTCCTCCTGGTTTTGGTAAAAGAAGTAGTATCATTGTTTATTTTGTCTTCTTCCTACGTAACTATCTAATTCATACTATGCAGATAAAATGGGTCACAACAATAAAAGAAAAGGAATCTAGAAGAGATATTGAGCTATTTCTGAGCAACACCAGCAGGACACTTGGGATTTTCTAGATTTTAGTTGCCCTTTACCCTGAAGGTAGGGAATGCATCTTATTCATCTTCGTATCACCCAGGGAGGCTCACACCATGGATAGAATGTGAGGAGTTGAGAGCTGAAAGATCTGAGACCATTTAGTCTAATCTCCTATCTTACAACTGAGGGCCAGAGAAATGAGTAACTTAGCCCCTATGATTGTGCTGGAAGGATAATGGGCTAGAACCTGGTTTCCTGACTTCCGACATCATTCTTCAGAAAGTTTTATCTCAGCTGACCATGTGTCCCAGTTTGTCAAAATGATTCTGGTTTATGCCTATTGCCCTCGCTTACTTGTTAGAATCCCATTTCGTGGTCATGAATGTCTCGGTAGGGATGACAATTTATAAGGTTACCTGGTGATATAATATTGCACTCTCTTCCCATAAGCAAATAAGGAAAAAGAGTAGGATGCAGGTTCTCCTAGACTTAGGTGGTGATCTGAGGACTGCTTTGCCCAACGCAGGACAATTTCAGAACAGACACAGAGAAGACAAGTGTTTACCAAAAAAAAGGTTTGAATTAGTAAGATCACCTTCCTCTCCTGTCAGAGCCTGGCGGGGGCCTGTGAGCTAACACCAGCTTCCTAGCTTATGGGACTGCCTGCCCTGTGGCTGCTGGTGAGGGGGGCGGGATTTCAATGCAATGTACTCGGATGGGATATTTGCAGGGAACTGCTGCTGGATTAAACAAGATACCTTTGTGTTGGGAGATAAATTCCCAGTATGACATGAATGTCTGAACTGGGTAAGGTGGTGGCAGTGATGAGGTGAAGCCACAGGGGGGCTGAATGAAGCTTTGTGCTTGCATGTCACTCTGCAAGCCCGCCGTGCCAGCCTATCGAGGGGCTGAGCCAAGCCCCCTCTGAAATGCCGGTTCCCCTTCCATGCTGTCACATCTCTCTGTGCCAAGTCAGGAGCTACACACTTTCATATGGTACTGTACCCCAATGAGGTCAAATAAATCATTGGGGACATAATATTTGCTATGCTTAATTTCACTTTACAGAACCACTTTTTTTCAGGGCCAGATCTCTCTGTATGTTAACATATGCCCATATTAATATGTTACTAGTCACAAGTAAATATCACAGTATTGATTCCAGAGATAGTTCCTGTCGAGCTGGATATTTCTTCTTGTTGGTGGAGGAGAGAGGAAAAGAGGTGGGAGGTGGGAGGCGGGTCGGGGCAGGGAACTCTAGTGGGTTCCTTCTCCTTCGTCACCAAGGGCACCAATAGATCTGGAAGTCTGGGGGCAGTGGCCTCTTCACATCGCCTCAGAATCTTGTACAGCTCTTCTCATTTGCTAACCGCTGATAAAGACCTAAGCTGCCCTTCTTGTGTGTCCACCTGTCCATCTGAGAGCATGGCCTGCGTCTGCCCGGGCGAAGGAGAGGGCACGTACTCTCTGCTCCTGCTTCCTGGCTGATAGCTTTAAGGAGTGGTCTCTGAGACACAGTACTTTTCAGAGCAGGGTCTGCAGCAGAGCGAACTGGTTCACAGGGAGATGAGACCCTTGACCTTGGCCTCATTGGCTCCATTCTTTGACCGACTGAGCCACACTTGAGAGCACAGCTCGTTAAAGCGTAGGTGGGCCACATCTGTATTTACTGGGTTTGAGAGTAGCTCTGAGAGTAAGCCAGCTTTCTCTATTGATTAGCTCCTGCAAATGAGAACAATGACAAGCACACCTACTTCTGAGTCAAATCAGGCCCCGGGGAGAGGAGGAAGGATTTGTGATGAGGTGAGACCATCGGTCTCCAGTCACATTTGGGAATAAAAAGAGGAATAGAAATTCCAAACGGGATTTTTTTTTTTTTTTAAGTAATGAGAAAAAGAGAGAGGGGTGGGGGTAACACCCATCACACGCCCTTTGTATCTGAAGAGGCAGGCAAGGTAATATGATTCTCGCCTTAATGTCAAGCTTCAGTAAACCCACCTCCTGGTTACTATGCAGGCGGAAATGTACATGCAGGAAGAGCAGAAGAAGGAAGAAACCAACTGGGGGTGGGGCCAGCTGCTAAATTTAGCAAGGGTGAAACTAGAGGAAGGAAGGATGAGAGAAACATCACAAAGCCAGGGACCTGCTGGGAAGCACTTGGCACAAGGAAGAGGTGTCGAGCTGCCCGGAGTCAGGCTCTCTTTTGTGAAGTGTTAATTAAGAAGACAACTTCTCATGTTCTTAATTTGCCAATACCAGAACAAAAATATTAGCCCTGCTCCTGGGGGTGATCTAGCGATACAAGGAAATGCCCCAAGGGACCAGGGTTTTAGTCCCCTAGTAATCTGGTCCTAAGAAAAAGTCCCAAGTGAAAAGTATTGCTGTGTGTCTCCATATCTGTTGTCTAACCCATCGGGCAGGAACGCCCCACAGAGGCACTGAGCATCGCTGTACAATGGAATGGTGCACAAAGTAAGATTTTTATACCTATTTCCCTGCCCATATGCCTGCTTTTTTTTTTAAGATTTTTAAAACTGCTTTTTAGAGAGAGAGGAAGAGAGAGGGAAAGAGAGAAAAGCATTGATGTGAGAGTGTAGCATCAATTGGCTGCGACCTGTATGCCCCCTACCAGGGATTGAGCCCACAACCTGGGCATGTGCCCTGACTGGGAATGGAACCAGCAACCTTTCAGTGTATGGGATGACATTCAACCACCTGGGCGACACGCCAGGGCCCCATAGGCCTGCTCTGGACTATGTCCAGGGTCACAATGCAAGTCTGGTTTTTTGCTCTGTTTTCTAGCAATGATTTTGCTGATGGTGTGACTCACAGGAGAGCAGCACCTGGGACAGCTGAAATAAGCACTTACACTGAGAACGGGGTAAGACACCACCTCTGGTGCATGAAGAACCCCTGGGTCCCCCACAGAGTTCACAGGGCTTGGGTCTTTTTTCATCCTCCAGCTTTCATTACCCTCTGCTCACAAATCTTCAATGATTCCCCATTCCTTTCCTCCATCTAAATCCTCCACATTCGATTTCCAACCTAACCTCCTTGGAGTAGCTCTACACAGGCCCAGTGTGGATCATGGCTGAAACAGGCTGATGGCTCACAGGGTTGTATTGAGTTTGTTCTCTCTATTTGGGGTATGTTTAAAATTCCTCATAACAAAAGGTTGTGGGGAGGTGAGGGGGAGGGAAGATAAGCTGTACAACCCAAGTCATCTGACTACTTTCTACCCCAAAGACTGACTCCACCCTCTCTGCTTGGAATGTTCTCCACACCAGCCCTGCTTATCTGAATCCTGCTGGGCCACCAAGGACTCCCCCAGAGCCACCTCATGCATGAAGCTGACCTGCTGCTGGTACCTGGGCATATCGCCCCTTCCGCCACCTCATTAGGATGCCTACTATGACATGTGCATATCTTGCTCCTTTCTTCGCCGAGATTGTAAGCTGCATAGAGCCTAGAGCAGTGATGGCGAACCTATGACATGTGTGTCAGAGGTGACACGCAAACTCATTTTTTTGGTTGATTTTTCTTTGTTAAATGGCATTTAAATATATAAAATAAATATCAAAAATATAAGTCTTTGTTTTACTATGGTTGCAAATATCAAAAAATTTCTATATGTGACATGGTACCAGAGTTAAGTTAGGGTTTTTCAAAATGCTGATACGCCGAGCTCAAAAGGTTCGCCATCACTGGCCTAGAGTATCTCTCAATCATTTTGGCATTTCCCCCAGGATCTTATACAAAGTAAGCATTCAATAATTGGTTTGTTGAATGAAAAATGACTCACATAAAAAAGAACAACTTATCAAATTAACAATGAGACCGCTTGGATCTAAGGAAAGACAAGCCTCCTCCGGTACCTTCTTCGTGGTTCTGGTGCAGTATGACTTCTGGCTGGGTGTGGATCGAGTTTCCGGGGTGGAAGAAAGGTGAAAAAAGAATCCGAGGTTTCCTCTGCTTCAGAATATGCTGAAGGAGTTCATAGAGCACATCAC